AGTTCTCCTCTAGGACATTAGTCGGCAAAGTACTTAATTGATTCTGTAATGTTTAATGTTTCATTGCTTTTCGTAAAACAAAATATAAAAAAAATCATTTTAACAAAATACAGAAGAAATGCATATTTTCATATACAAAAGCAATTTACACTTATTTTTTCACCACATCATGGTTGAAACTGCATAGTCCTTTTAATTATTCAAAGTCTGCAAGTGAAATATAATGAACGTCAAAAACTTGCTGTCTCTCTATACAACAAAAATATACCCAGGCCCCTGGAAAGTATCACAAACCATGGCAACGATCCAGAAAACTCTTCTAAAATAAAATTATATGAATATATGAAGTTACTGGTGTATTTTTATTTCTTATAGATGCAAGGAAATCAGAAAACGCTGATGAAGAGTCACAACAGTTAATTTCATTGAAAGAATTCCCTGAAATGAGACTTGGTATGTTTAATGACCTTACCACAGAAACACACGGTATATGCAATTTTTAAAATCCCGCTTGCCTTTACTAATTATATAGGATTATTGAAATTATATTGGTGAATATTAGCACGTTTTGGCTGTATAAATACACGAGTTTCACTTATTATACAGCTAAAACATTTTTAGAAAACATTTTTAGAGATGTATCTATCTTAGAATTGTTATATTTCTTGTTAAAACTAGAGAATGATGGCCTATCTGGATGTTTTTTTTAATGATGACAAATCCATTAGCATAACACACAGATATACCAGTCTTACTATATACAAACAACTATTGAAAATATGCCATGGAAAGATCTACACATTCAAAAACAATATCATGAAGTGCATAAAATATCTTTGAGATACATGTATGTACATGTAAAAAGTTCCTAAGATGCATTTTAATTTTAATCATTCGCTTTTTTATGCATTCCATTCTTAGCATCAATATACACTGTGAACATTTATAATCTGATCAGGAATGTTGATGCCCTCTGATGGGTCTAGATTCTGGCTTTGATCATCCAATACCTGATCAGGTCTGCATAGTCACGAGTAGACCTCATCAAAGTCAATATTTTTATTCCATATACATACACCGATAATATCTCATCCTATCTTATAGGTATTTTTCTTGTAAATCATTTATTAAACAGAATATTTGCTGGACATCAAATGAGCAGCTTTTCTTCAAAATTTAATATCAAACATATACCAATACACGGTTTGTTACTAAATGGGTAGCGGAAGGGCAAAAATACATATTAAAGAAATCAAAAATTATTACAATTTCATTGACAATAAAAACGTAACAAATGACATTAAATGCATAATCAACAGATCTTTTAACAAAATAAAATATACATATAGACACAACCAATGATCCAATACATAACCCAAAAATATCAAATTGAGCGGTTTTATCTTTGCTTAACAAATTATACATAACATTCGACAAAGGTATATACCTTCACAAAAAATACTATAATAGTAAACTATAGTTAACTATAGTTTACTATAGTTAACTATATTTAAATATAGTGATAACTTTGACACTATGAAAACTATAGTTAACTGTAGTGATAACTTTGACACTTTGATTTACTATAGTGATAACTTTGAAAACTTTGATTTCCTATAATGATCACTAATGACACTATAGTGATCACTTTGAAAAATTTGATTTACTATAGCGATAACTTAGAAACTTTGATTTACTATAGTTAACTGTAGTTAACTATAGTAAACTATAGTTAACTATAGTTTACTATAGTATTTTTCGTTAGGGATAACTCAAAATGAAAATATATCTTGAAATCAACATACATACAATGTAAATGTCTGAAAAACAGACATCAAAACTTAACAAAAGATGCAAGATAACAGTCGTTGAATGGCTCTGAATGATCTCACAAAGAGGTATCAAGTCAATTCATGACCTGAACCACTCGTAATCACGTCAACTAGAACACCATATTCTCGTTTTGAAAGAACTCACTCTTGAAATTATAATAATTATACATGTATATCTACACAATAAACTAAGCAGTTTTTGGACTTTATCATACTGTTCCTGTATTTCTGAGGCATGTTAATTTTATAATTGATTTTCAAAAAGTGTTTTAAAAATATGCGTTGGAAATGATAGTTTCAAGAAAATCTCTGGATTTTTAATATGTCCAAGTTAAATTAATTCTGTTTTCAAAGAGGCATTTTTTCCAGACCTTAAGGGGTTACCCATTTAAAAAGTACAAAATCTGTTACTTACTCTTTAGTAAAGGCGTAGCAGATCAACATCTACAGCTATGTCTTATTCCTAATCCTTATTAGCAAGATTTCGATATATACATGTACATGTAGATAAATATTTCCAAGCAAACACTTTGCATTGATTATGTGGGAAGGAGGGGGGATATATTCGAGGTGTGTTGGGGATATTGACAAACAAGCAATAAAGAAAGAAATAATGGGGGGTTGGTACTCAAAGAAAAAGAAGAGTTAGGAATTAATTAATTAAACCCTCTATTGCGTGAAAATTTGAAAACTAATTTAACAGCAAACCGGGAGGCAGATTCCCTTCAAATTCGAGATCAATAGGGCTGTTGGTTATCTGTGTCATTTATATCATATAATGGAAATGTTCTAAGCCAAAGATCCATGTAATATCGTTTTTAGGGCATATACATGTATATAAGTTAAAATATTACTATGAATAACTCTAGCAGTTTCAGTTTTACGAAAAAGAAAAAAAATCGCTGTTATATAGTCATATGAACCAAAAAACGCAAAAATGTTCATAACTATATGTATTCTTCAAGAATCAATATCACACCCAAACATTCTCCCCTTTTTACTCTTCTTAGTATATGCATTTAATCTATAATGATGTAAATCCACCAATTATTCTAGTACATACGGTGAAAACATTCTTATGTCTACGCAATGGGAGGTTCGGGGGGTATATAGTTTTTGCCCTGTCCGTCCGTCTGTCTTTCTAGCTGTATGTCTGTCTGTCTAGCTGTCTGTCTGTTTATCCGTTTATATGTTTATCAGCAAAAAAAAATAACATTGCCCATAACTTTCGATTGATTGGAGCCATGACTCATATATATCACATGTGTATTCCTTGTGGCAAAACCTTTCCTTGGGTACCAATATATTTGACTCTTGACCTTGGAGTTTGACCCAATTTTGCAAGAATTTACCCAACTTTAACCTCGCCCATAACTTTGGAACAGTTGGTGCTAGGGCTTTTATACTTCACATGTGTACGTAGGTTCGTTAAGGCTTCCCAGAGAATATCGCAGTGTACTCTGAGCCTTCACTTCTCTGAACTACAAATGTATGACGTCATAATTGAAAATGACGTCAAGTCACTGCAAACTTGAGTTGTTATGATTAGGAGAGTAACTTTACATCTTATTTCAATCTACATATAAAGTGTCAGAAAGGAAGTGTAAAATTGTTTTAATCTTTCTTTTAAAAATCCTATATATCCGAATATTTTAGATAACTTTGCTTTTTTACTCTTGTTAAAAAGTCAGCATGTTCAGAATATATACGAAAATATACGTTTAACATTTACCCCCTTTTTATAACCGTGGGTAGAAGTAGAATTTATAATATGTTATAAATGAGCCTGGCGCAGGTGATTAATGAGGATTTATTTAAGATCTTTTGTTGAAGTCTATAAGAGGAGTTCCCCTCTAACTGAATCTTGCTTGGGAAAAATGTGTGATGGCTTTGTATTAATACAGATGACGAAATTGAGTGGAAAATACCCTCAGATGTGTAGGTAAGTTGCATTTATTGTGAAATATTTTGTTCTAGAGTAAAATTTTAACTTTTCCCAAGGATATTTCGGACATTTCACAAGGATACGGCGAGTTTATTTATGTGACAAAAAGTTAAAAAGAATTGTGTTAATCAGCTGTGCCGAAGCGATTTATGTGAAACACTCCAAAAAGGTAGTGTAACGGTTGATTTTGCGCATACTAAAAGAACACGAAACGCGCACCATACTTTATTAAACCGATTGTCCATTTATAGAGTTTCTGTCCTTGCGCCAGGTATTTAATTTTATTTAGAGATTATATTATTAAAAACTTTATAAAAATTCTATTTGAATATTAATTAAGTTGTTATCTATTTTTAATTAATTTTCAGTGCAGTGATTTGAATTTATTATTTTGTTGAGTAAATCTCTAAGATTTAAACTGGTTTGTCAAGTTATCTATTAATACTCACTGTGCTGACGCCCCCGTTATGAACTGAACGTGTTCGATTGAGTTTGAGAGTGATGCGTGTTACGGTAAGAATGTTTGTTAATCTTGTGTTTTATTAAACTTGAATTATACTAATTATTATATCTTTTTATCGTTAATATAATAAATACCGGTAATTCTGTTTATTTAAATGTAGACACCACACGCGCAGTAAAAGTACGAGTGAGTGACTGGGTGTGGCATTGCCATATTTTGGTGGTATGTGTTCGTTTGAATTTAAATTCATATACTGATTAATTCTTTTATTTTTGTTTGTGTGTTCTATTGGTAATGTGTGTATATATTTTTGCTTGTTTGTAGCTCATTGCCAATTTGATAATTTAATTTAAAATAAAGAACCATAAAAAAGAACTTGACTTAAGTCGTTACAAATGGCGTCGTGGACATACAATTAAAAAGAAATCTTTTGGCGATGAGTTACTTCTAGGCCCACACTCGATGACAACTTCGGAATTCTGAAGTGCCTTTTGCCTTTGTCGACGTTAAGCAGACTACAGTGCCATTCGATTGACGTTTCTGATGTCCCGAGCTCTAAGTTCAACTACCAGTGAACGAGTGCATTCGCCAAAGACTTTGAGTTTGGTTTATGTTCAACGGCAACGCAACGGACATCTGAGTATTCCAAACAACGCCCCTTGAGGTGACAAAAAAACTTCACCTGTTTATAACTGTGCACTTAAACAATTAGAATTGTGTAATTATATCTGTACATTCGTGTATTAATCTACTTTCAAAAATGTCTACTAAGAGGGAAATCAAAGAACTTCTTGAACTTGAAAAAGAAAAATCAGAACAGTTAGAAAATGAAATAGCAACAATTCACCAGAGGTTGAAGAAAACTGAAAGTGCTTTGAGTTTGAAAGAAATAGAAATGAAATATAAAAATGAACCAAAACCAAATAAAACTGTCTATGTTGCGAGAGAGAAAAAGATTGCAAGGTTGTGTGGTAGACCTGTGAAAGAGAGTGACCCCGATGTAGCAGAATGGTTAGATGATGCTAGGCAACATTTAAAAGTTATTGATGATGAAGATGCAAAGATAGATTTTTTGATGGACAATTTAGGTGGTCAGGCAAAAGATGAAATAAGATTAAGACCTAGAATGGAAAGAAATACATCTGACAAAATTCTAGATATCATTAAAGATGTTTTTGCAAGTACAGAAACTTTGGGCGCGTTGCAACAGCAATTCTATCAAAGAGATCAGAAACATGGCGAGTCGTTGCAAAATTACTCTTTAGCATTAATGAAATTACTCGACAAGATCGTGGCAAAAGATTACAAAGCTGTAAGCGATTTCGATGAGATGTTAAAAGAGCGGTTTGTTGAAGGCATTCGTGATTCATCTCTCCGAAGAGAGATTAGACGTTTTTCGTTCGAACAGAAATCTATGCCTTTTGGTGAATTTAGACAAACGGTGTTGCAATGGTCTGAAGATTACAAGAGTGAGCCACTAGGTAAGTCATGCTCAGTACATGAAACTAGCATTCAAGAGAGTATGAAAACAAAGGTTACAAAATCACATGATGATGGTCAATTATCAGAGATTCTTGATATTCTTAAATTGCAACAAAAGCAAATAGATGAAAATCAAAAAGAGTTAAAGAAATTATCAGAAGAGGTTATGAGAAAAATAAATCCACAGTTTGAAACCAAACCTTTGCAAGGAAGACAATTTCCTAAAGTCAGACAATCCCATTTAACATGTTTCCGTTGTAGCGGAAAGGGACACAAAGTACAAGACTGTAGTACTCAGTTAGAAAACAACAATCCTCCACGTAAAGGTAGGTCACAAGGGGCACCTGTCTCTAATTTTCCTTTAAACGCGAAGCGTCTGTTGTAGAGAGTCGCCCAGCAGATGAAAGTGAGAGGATAAAAGACTCATTTGATCAGAGGATCATAGACAGAGCTATAGGACAATGTCCTGTCGTAACAGTACAGATTGAAGGTAAGCCAATTTCGTGTCTGATTGACACTGGTTCACAAGTATCTACTATCACTGAAACTTACTTTCGAGATCTGTTGAAAGCTGAACCTAAGTTAATTGACGTTACGAAGTGGATGAAAGTGTCTGGCGCCAATCACTTACCGATACCATACATTGGTTATATTGAGGTAGTGATAGACACTGCTCATGGTCGTGTACCAAATGTTGGAATACTGGTGGTTAAGGATACCACAGACCAATATGGTAAGCAGAAAAAGTTACAAGTTCCTGGAGTACTCGGGAGTAATTTCTTCCATATTCTAAAGGAACAAGTTGAACAAAAGTTATATTCAGTCACTGAAAAGAATGATCAGTTATTGAATACATTGTCTATTTTTGAAATGAATACGTCAGTTTACGGTTCTCAAAGATCTAGTTTTGTCAAAGTTGCGGGTCAAGATCCTATTAAACTTCCTGCAAATTCAATGAAAGTTGTTTTAGGTACTGCACGTCAGACGTCCAAGAACTTAAGTGGTTTGGTCCAAGCTGTCCATGGCAATAATGGTACTCTACCGAAAAACATCTTGTTGATAGACACCTACGCAGATATAGAGAATGGTATGATTCCAGTTCGAGTCGTAAACATCGGAGATGAAGATGTTTGGTTGAATCCAAAAACCAGGATCGGCATCCTTCATGACGTCAAAGTTGAGTACGCTGCCCAGCCCAACTGTCAGGCAGAAATTGAGGTAAGCACTCAAGAAATTCAAGTTTACATCGAAAATATTCGTGAGAACTTGGAAAAGGTAGATGATGTCAAAGCCGTAGTTATCACAGATAAAGCTATTAAAATTCATGGTGTAGAAGTAGATGTCGGAGGAATCATATCAGATGACGAGAAAGAAAGGTTAGTATCGGTTCTGAATAGACATCAGGACGTTTTCTCCAAAAACAGCGACGATCTAGGTTCTACCGATACGGTCAAGCATAAAATACTTACTACAGATGAAATTCCCGTCAAATTGCCACATAGACGGATACCTCCTAATCAAATCGAAGAAGTGAAGTTGCACATTCAAACTCTTCTGAAACAAGGTATTATTCGACCCAGTACAAGTCCATATGGAGCCGCTGTTGTTTTAGTCCGCAAGAAAGACGGTACATTACGTCTTTGCGTCGACTATCGGCGACTAAATCTCAAAACAATCAAAGACGCATTTCCAATTCCCAGGATCGAGGAGGCACTAGATGCACTTCATGGCGCTAAATTCTTTTCTACCTTAGATCTTGCACAAGGTTTTTATCAGGTACAGATGGATGAGCAGGACCGCCAGAAAACGGCATTCAGAGTTGGTCCCTTGGGTTTGTATGAATTTGTCCGCATGCCCTTCGGTCTTTGTAATAGCCCAAGTACTTTTCAAAGGTTAATGGAAGCTTGTTTAGGTGACAAAAACTTCGAAATCCTTCTTTTGTATCTCGATGATATTCTTGTCTTTTCTCAATCATTCGATGATCATTTAGAACGACTTGAATTTGTTTTCAACAGATTAAGATCTCACAATCTAAAAATAAAACCTTCAAAGTGTCACTTTTTCCAAAGCGAGGTCAAATACTTAGGCCATGTTGTTAGCGAAGACGGTGTCAAAGTTGACCCAGAGAAAATTTCTGTAATCAAAGACTGGAAAACTCCTCAAACAGAAAAAGAATTACGTTCCTTTTTAGGCCTAGCCGGGTACTATCGTAAATTTATCAAAGGGTTTCGTCAAATTGCTGCTCCTCTTCATGCTGTATTGTCTAAACAAGAAAAACAGACCAAAGGTAGGAAAATCGTAACAAGACAAATTCCATTCAAACATAAATGGAATTCAGAGTGTGACAATGCTTTTGAAAAACTAAAATCATGTCTTACAAACACTCCAGTTTTAGGCTTTCCAAACTTCAGTTCTCCATTTATCCTAGAAACAGATGCCAGTTTTGATGGTTTGGGTGCAGTTTTGAGTCAACAGCAAGAGTCCGGAAGAGTCGTAATCGCCTATGCATCTAGAAGCCTTAGACCAGGCGAGAGAAACATGTCGAATTACAGCTCCATGAAATTGGAATTACTTGCTCTAAAATGGGCGGTAACTGAAAAGTTTCGAGACTATTTGTTAGGTAGCAGTTTTATCGTATACACTGATAATAATCCCCTCAGTTATTTCAAAACAACAAAGTTAGCAGCCAATGAACTGAGATGGGCTTCGGAGTTGGCACAGTTCAATTTTGATATCAAGTATAGATCCGGAAAGTCAAACAAAAACGCAGATAGTCTTAGCAGAAGGTATTTAGAAATTAATTCTGAGGAAATTTAAGCAGAATTGTCTCAAAGTGATTCCTTGAGAGAGTTTATTACAGACTGTCAGACAATTACAACGGACAAGGAACTAACTCATATGTTTCCTGAATACACTTCAGACGATTTACGGAAACTGCAGGTGGAGGATCCAAAGATCAATAGAGTACTTCACTGGATGGAGATTGGCCACAAACCAACATCACGTCAAATTTCGAAAGAGAGCGGAAAGGTGAGAAAATATCTAAGGAAGTATCATTTGTTACAGTTCAAGAATGGTGTCTTGTACATGACCAGTAAGGGATTTGATGGTGAGTGTTTGCAGTTAGTGTTACCAGAATGCCTTAGACCACAAGTAATGGAGTCTCTGCATGATTGTTCTGGACACCAGGGTCGAGAGAGGACATTTGCACTTGTGAGGAAAAGATGTTACTGGCCAGGAATGCAGGCAGACGTCATCAAATGGATCGAAAAATGTGAAAGATGCAAGATTGCTAAGACACCAGTTCCAACAATTAGACCATCAATAGGTAACTTGATAGCTAAACAACCATTAGACATTTTGGCAATGGATTTTACGTTATTAGAAAAATCTTCAGATGGTTTTGAAAATGTTCTCGTTTTGACGGACGTTTTCACGAAATATACCATGGCAATTCCTACAAAGAATCAAAAAGCCTCTACTGTCGCTAAACAGCTAGTCTACAATTGGTTCTATAAAATTGGCATACCAAGTCGTTTGCATAGTGACCAAGGTAGGAATTTTGAGGGTGAGGTGGTTAAAGAGTTATGCAAGTTGTATGGTATAAAAAAGTCACGTAGCACTCCCTATCATCCTGAAGGTAATTCGCAATGCGAGAGATTCAACCGAACGATGCGTGATAGGTTAAGAACGCTTGATGCACACAGAAAAAGAAAATGGACGGCGTATTTGCCAGAACTTGTTTATATATACAATGTTACACCTCATTCTACTACAGGATTGACACCTTATTTCCTCCTTTCTGGAAGAGAACCAAGATTACCTGTAGATTACTTATTAGGTACCAACAAGGATGATGTATGCTACCAGGTAGAAGATTGGTTGAAGTCCCACAAAGAGCATCTTAAGTACGCCTGGACTGTTGCAGGTAAGAAAACAGAGAAGAGCGCAGAAAAACGACGGGAGTTTCATGAAAGGAAATCCACTCCTTGTTCTATTGATGTAGGAACAAAGGTTCTGATTAAAAACCATGTACAAGGTAGGAATAAGATACAAGATGTGTGGAAATCAGATCCTTACATTGTCACAGGTAAGTTACAGGAAAATGTTTACGAAGTAAAGTCAGCAGATGGTAGTAATGAAACAAAAGTTCTTCACAGAAACGAGCTCTTAGATACAAAAGAAAAGCACCAAAATGAGCAAACTAATATTTGTGAAGAGTCTGACTCTGATGAGGAAATAGAGGCATAGATTATGACTTTGAACGAATGACATTTCTTCGTGTTTTTATAAATTGTGTATATAGTCAGTTTTATCTACTTGTTGATGAGGGCATCAACAAAATGTGCGGGGAGGAATGTAACGGTTGATTTTGCGCATACTAAAAGAACACGAAACGCGCACCATACTTTATTAAACCGATTGTCTATTTATAGAGTTTCTGTCCTTGCGCCAGGTATTTAATTTTATTTAGAGATTATATTATTAAAAACTTTATAAAAATTCTATTTGAATATTAATTTAGTTGTTATCTATTTTTAATTAATTTTCAGTGCAGTGATTTGAATTTATTATTTTGTTGAGTAAATCTCTAAGATTTAAACTGGTTTGTCAAGTTATCTATTAATACTCACTGTGCTGACGCCCCCGTTATGAACTGAACGTGTTCGATTGAGTTTGAGAGTGATGCGTGTTACGGTAAGAATGTTTGTTAATCTTGTGTTTTATTAAACTTGAATTATACTAATTATTATATCTTTTTATCGTTAATATAATAAATACCGGTAATTCTGTTTATTTAAATGTAGACACCACACGCGCAGTAAAAGTACGAGTGAGTGACTGGGTGTGGCATTGCCATATTTTGGTGGTATGTGTTCGTTTGAATTTAAATTCATATACTGATTAATTCTTTTATTTTTGTTTGTGTGTTCTATTGGTAATGTGTGTATATATTTTTGCTTGTTTGTAGCTCAATGCCAATTTGATAATTTAATTTAAAATAAAGAACCATAAAAAAGAACTTGACTTTAGTCGTTACAGTAGAAATGACCGTCACGTGATCAACGAGGTCATCTGATATCGTAACAAATATGTTTATATATAGCCAAATTGACCGTACATAACTTACAAATAAAAATAAAAATCGACCTTGCAATGCAGTGTTATGTTTTGAACGCATTTAAAGCTTCGGGAAGCCTTAACATTGCTGCGTATTCATTTGATAAAACCTTTTCATGGATATAAATATTTTGACCTTTTGACCTTGACCAATGCATTTAAGAAATTTCAACCTTCGCTTAAAGCTGTCATATGGTGGCATCAGTGTTTCACAAACACATCTTGTTTATTGATTGATTTCCCAAGCACTCAAACAGCTCTAATTAACTTATAACTATATT